CTCGATTACAATCACACACACACACACACACACACACTCACTCATACTCACAATCACTCACTCATACCCACAATCACGACTCATAATCACTTACACTCACACACATACACACAATCGCACACTCACAATCACTCACACACATACTCACAATCGCACACTAACACACACATACTCACAATCACTCACACACATACTCATAATCACTCACACACATACTCATAATCGCACACTCACACACACATACTCACAATCACTCACACACATACTCATAATCGCACACTCACACATACATACTCACAATCACTCACACACATACCCACAATCGCACTCACAATCACTCACACATACTCACAATTGCACACTCACAATCACTCACACATACTCACAATCGCACACACACACATACTCACAATCACTCACACACACACACTCACAATCACTCACACACATACTCACAATCGCACACTCACAATCCCTCACACATACTCACAATCACTCACACACACACTCATAATCGCACACTCTCTCACACATACTCACAATCACTCACACACATATTCGCACTCTCACACATACTCACAATCGCACTCACACATACTCACAATCACTCACACACACACACTCACTCACAATCACTCACACACATACTCACAATCGCACACTCACAATCCCTCACACATACTCACAATCACTCACACACACACTCATAATCGCACACTCTCTCACACATACTCACAATCACTCACACACATATTCGCACTCTCACACATACTCATAATCGCACACTCACTCACACATACTCACAATCGCACTCACACATACTCACAATCGCACTCATCACAATCGCACACTCACTCACACACATACTCACAGTCGCACACACACTCACAATCGCACACTCACAATCACTCACTCACACACACACACTTACAATTCCTCACACACTCACACACATACTCACAATCGCACACACTCACAATCACTCAGTCGCGCACACACACAGCTCATATCTGAGCATCTGCCAGCACATCTGAGCATGTGAGACTGTGCTCCTCAGGCTCAATGAAGGAGAGAGCGGCGTATGATGAGGCCGTGAAGCGCGTGACGGGTCTGAAGGAGAGCCAGACGCCGCGTCCGAGCGTCCAGATGAAGCTGAGTCTGGACGTAGCGCCGCTGAACGGAGTCGATATCAGGCTCAAGCTGCTTGTGAAGAGCGAGAACAGCAAAGTCCAGGATCTGACGCTGAAGATGAGCGCTCAGGTCATGAGATACACAGGGAACCCGGCAGCCAGCGTCTGGAGTCACACCGCAGACCTACAGCTGCAACCCAACACAGGTACAGGACTAGTCCTGACAACTAACCAGCGTTTAGAATTAATTATTAGAGTCAATGATTCAGTGGTCCATTCACAAAGACAGGCACTTGCTTCATTCTTAAATGAATCAGCCGTCTGAACGAATCGTTTGAATGAATGCCTCAATGCCTCACTCATTAAGACTACTGTCCGTTTACTTTCATATTTAAAAGTAGCTTATCTTTGTATTTTTCCCTCAACATTTCATATTTGGATATTTAAAAAATATACTTTAACTTAAAAACACCAAGCTCATAACATTATGTTGTATCATTACAGTAAGAATCTAACGCGTATCATCATTGACACTAGCGAGAATTAAAAAACTCAAAAGTAAAACGATGCATTATAGTGGAGGAATTCATGTAAAATGTAATGTTACATTTAGATCATATCTTTTTTAGCTGAACCTATTACTTTAAGATTTTAAGTTAATATTTCAATAATAATGTTAAATTCATAATTAAATAATTTAAATAAACACTTAATAATGATACAATTATTAATAAAAAAAATAAATAAAAAAAACACTATATAAACACATACACACTTTATATAAAGAAATTGAAGTGTAATATTAAGATCATAAAATTACAATGGGTGTGAACATGCAAAATGTGAAATAGTGACAAAAAATCTCAAAGTAAATATTTCAAATTGTAATGGTCCTAATACTACACTTAACAAGTAAATAAAAACAATGTAACAACACAATAAGCTATCTTTTACCAACCAAGGTGTGTTTTTTCTGAGATTCACCCAGCAGTTAACTACACTTGCACTGGTATGAGTCCAGGTGAGATCATCTCTGGCTGGTTTTGAATCATTAATCTGAAGCACAAATACACAGACTCATGTCCTCGTGTGCTTGTTTCAGAGCAAACTCTTCCCTTCACGCTGCCGTTTACCGCATACGGACCAAAACTGCTCGACAACAACTGCATCAAAGTCTCTGTGATCGCCATGGATAAAAGCGACCCGAAGGAAGTTTATCTGGCGGAGAAAGACGTGGTTCCTCACAGTCCGGCACTGAAACTCACAGTGAGTGTCTCACACACATTCTGATGCTGATTGGTTGAGATTAATGCATTACAATTAATTAATTTAGAAGGAAATATCAGAGTTACTTTTTGAAATCAGAAGCAGCAGTTACTTAGTTTCCATGTGTTGAGTGACAGCTCTGGTGTTGCCATGGAGACAGAAATCAGGAGTCAGTGCAGAGCGTTGTGTGTGAACATGATCTTACTGTAGTTCTAGACTCAATATCAACATGTGTTTACTCATCTCACTGCACACAAACACATTCAGTGCTCCTCACAATCAATACAAACATTGTATATGCAAACCTGCAATAATTAAATACGTTAAATAAGAATTGAATCCCATTTTATTAACAATGTGTTTGCTACTGATCTTCGATGATTCACTTCAATCATACTAATAAGCAGAAATGACACATTAGTGTTTAATTGGAGTTGCTGCTGAATAGTGCTGAACTTTCTTCTGCTGTGATTAGTTTGAGCTGCGCACGCTACTGTACAGACGAGAATTCACATTTCCTTCAGCCTGAGCCGGATTCAGTTCACTTCTGCTGTGAAAGCGCTTTTACATTTGTAAAAGAAGAGCTTTTTTATATTACAAACTAACAAGCAAGCCCCGCCCAGATTTAAAAAGTAACGTAACGCATTACTTTCCATAAAAAGTAACTAAGTAACATAATTAGTTACTTT